TTCAAAAATTAAAATGCGCTATTGTAAAGCACACTTGAAATCGTAAAACTTTTGTATAAAACATTTTTTCATCTTTAACGGTTTACATGTGTGATATTTACTCAGAAAAAAAACCGATTTATTTCAAGGCTAGATATCACTCTCTTAACGTGCGACTCAGCACGTATAAAAAATTGTTAGTATCTTATTTTTGTATATTTTAACATATCCAAAGCTCATTAAAATCGAAGAGGAACACTTCCGTGTGTTCCCTTATCAGTTGAGCTATCGCACAATTGTAAAAAACTAAAATATATTGAAAAGTTATAACTAATAAAGTTATTTTTCTAACTTATAATGTAATGGTAAATGTATATACATGGGTATATAAATCTGTATGACTGGATCAAAATGTTAAATAATTTTTTGAAAATATGAGATCAGAAAGTCACGAGCGAAGTAGTTTACATGATAATAAAGAAAGTTGATGATAAATACGTAAAAAGATCGTATCACACACAATTAGCGCGACCAGACGTTTTTAGATATTTCCTCTTTATAGCAATTAGACTTACAATTAGATGGCTGGTGATTCTAGTTCCTCATAATATATTTGATAATTTCGACAGTTTACCAAGAATATTAGAATTTTGTGCAAATGCACATATTTTGCATGCGCTATCTATTTTTTATTACAATTATTTATAGAATTTAAAATACAAATACGTAATTTTGTATACAGATAAAAAAACGAATTTTAATATAATTCCTCATCTTCTTATATAATCTTGTATCTTGTCCATTATTGCAGCAATCTTTTTCTATTTTGTGATAAGTAAATAAATAACAATTTATATATTTATATACATAATTGCAAAAAATACAAATAATCACAAATTTTTAATATATTAGAAAATTTCTTTTAAAAGATATTCTTTTTTATTTTATAAAGTATACATTGGTGCTATATACTTAAATTAGTAATTTTGTAAATTTCACATTGGAGTCATGAAATTGTATCAAAAAACACTTGTGTACTAATTGTAAGTGTACTTCAAACAGAGTTGTTTCAAATTTGTTCAATATGTTCTGTTCAATTATATTTTTATATTGTTATCATATTAATATTACTCGACAGCATTTCATCTATATGCTGCAAAATATTGTTTTAAAATACAAATTTTAAACGGAAAAATAAAATATACAGAGTCTAAAAGATATAATAAAATTAAACCTTTGTACGATGCGTCTTTAAAAATTTGTCTCTGAAAAAAATGCTTTATTAATAGTACTTTTATATTTCAATTCAAATGAGAATTTTGTAATTTACTAAAATATAATAATCTACATTATACATTTCCTCTTTTGATTCATGTTATATTTTATTAATATTAAAAAATAAAAAGAATATTTTTACAGTTATTATAACTCTTTTTAGATAACATTAACCTTAGACTATCACACCATATTTGCCACTCAAATCTACCACACTGGGTAAAATTTACCCGGTCTATCTATTTTGTTGCGTAATACTTAGGTTCAAACGCATCGATTTAGAACTTTTTTTTAAATCTGTACGCCAGACAGTAAGAAAGGTGACTGAATGGATAGTAACACTCAAAGATCTTAAGGACATGAACAATTTGCAAAAATGTAAATCAGCTTTTATATCT